TATCATTAATAAATACTCACAGACACCACTGGTCAGAGCCACCATGGAAAAGACCAGGAGGAACACAGCCAACAGCTTCATGATGGAGACGATGCAGGTTTACAAGCTGAAGATACATGTTAAGAAAATTCAGTGTCACAAACAAGATAAGAAGAAAAATATCAGCAAATCTGATGAAGAATGATCTGTGTTCTTAACCAGCACCTTCAGTCTTCACTGTAGAATGACTGGATACTTATAGAGCTTCTAATCTTGCTATAAAAGGAGGAAAAAACACAGAAATTTCAAACAATTTCACACCTTTGACAGATCCAGTTCATACCTTGCCTTATCTTTAGTCATCAACCAAAGAAAAACCTCAGTTTTGTGCTTGTCATGGTAACGGTTCCAGCTTCAAGGGTTTGGCAATGGGCAACCTCAAAGTGGAGCAACTAAAGCCTGTACTTTGATGCTGCTGGTTGGTAGCTGCTTGTTGGTCATCTGGTTATTTTGTGTCAAAAGTCACAATGTAAATCTATATTTCCACTGATCAAAAAAGCTTTTTTTTCTTTTCAGTGTCCGTCTTTCCATAGAAGATAAAAATAGATGAAATGCTTAGATCAGAGGTGAGTAATCCTGGTCCTCCAGGGTCAGTATCCTGCAGCTCCCTGGTTCAACACACTTTGATGAAAGAGCTGAATCACCTCTCAAGTGCAGTCAGGTTCTCCAGAGTCCTGCTAACGACCTCATTATTTGACTCAGGTGTGTTGAAGTAGAGACGCATCTAAAAGCTGCAGGACACCGGCCCTCGAGTTGCCTACTTCAGGCTTAGACTAAGAACTGTGAGCAGCCATTTTCCTCTTCTCAGACTGTAAACCAGGAATCCTATGAGAATCTGCTTACAAGAACTATTGGTACTTTACCAGTCAGAGTTTTATGGGAGAGTGGCAATGAGAAAGTCACTGTTGAAGAAAACTCACATCACGGCTCGTCTCGAGTTTCCAGATGGCATGTGGGAAACTTTATGGAAGAAAATTATTTGGTTTTATGAGAGCAAAATGTTGCTTCTTAGCCATTAGAAGAGATGCTATGTTTGGTTGACATCAAACAAACACTGCACATAGCCACAAAGACAACACCTGAAGTACGACTGTGGCAGCCCTGTGGGTAGGACTCGACTGCTGGCATGATGGAGATGATGCCTGCACAGAACTACAGCTTCAACAATCCCAAGCTTCCAGCTAAACCACAGAAATGGTTTCAGTACCAACAAGATGGACTTTCTGGAGTGGCCCAGTCAAGGACCAAGCTTCAATTCAAGAATTTGTGTTTGAACTTGAACAGTAACAGCATTTTGAACAGACGGCCAAACCTCAGTCAGTATTTACTGTCATTGTCAACAAAAAATTAATTGAAAATCAGCAGTGAGTTCGTCTGATGCAAACGGTAGTTTGGTGAAATGAGCAACAACTCTTAACATACCTGGTTAGTATGGATAGTGTTTGACCTTCAAACTCCATTTTGTATTTTCTCAGCTTGTCTTAAATCATTTTTTTAAAACCTTAGGTATTTAAGAGGCAAAAAGCCAAAGCAGAAAAACCGTCTGATAGAAATGTTTTTTCCTATTCCTGCAACCATCGTCTGTAGTTTGTCAACACAACATTGTTGTTGTGCAATTAATGGATGTCAGTCTGAAATGTTGCCTTTTCTCCAACTCTGAACATCTTATGTTTATATGCAGAAACAATGAAGTCTTAAACTTATTGTGATGTTAACAGTTAATGGAACCTTTCTGATAAGAGCAAAATGTAATGTTTACATCAGTGTGTGCTTTAATGGCCAGCACTTTGAAAATGGTTCTAAAATATTGTAAAAAATAAAGATACAGAAAGAACATATTTAGTTTTCAGTTAATGTACTAAGCAGTATACATACTGTTGTGACAAATTAGGCGAGTTTATGCATTTGTTAATTTATACAAAATAAGTAATGTAAAGTCCTTCTCACATCGATTTATTTAATCGAGGTTTGTAGAAGTTTGTAAAGTTGTAGTTTTAATAGTTTTACTAAAAATTGGGAGAACTTTGGCATCAGTTCTCCACAAAAGATGCCGCCTTTCAGGGAAACATGACAGCCAATCATATCAGCAGATATCAGGCAAACATCTAAAATAAATGTTTAGTTATTCACTTGTCTACATTGGGGAAGAGGCAGGTAACAAGAAACAGAAAATATTAAAACATATCAGACAGTAAATGCAGCTTGTTGGATTTTCTTGATAAACTGTTAAAAAGGAGCCTCAGGTTGAAAAACAAACATAACAGATACAATCAGAAAATGAATTCAGACCTGGTGTTTCTTCCCCTTCTGAAGGTTTTTCCAAATTGCCAAGTCATCCTTACCAAGGTCTACACTATGTGGTATCTAAATATGCATATTCAAAAAGTTTGAGTCTTGGCAAGAATTGCACCCTTTAGATCTCAGTAAGATATTCTGTCATGTTTTCAAAAACTTGTAAAATGAAACAGCCAACTGCATTGATGAACTTGACTAACGTCCAACAGATTTTAGTGTCATTTACTTAAAAATCAGCTCTTAATCAAGAAAGCCAAACTAGTTACAGAATTATAGCTGAACTTCCATCCATGTCTAACAAACTTTGCATTAAGATAAAGAAGTTCCACAGAATTCATGTTTAAAGATTTTCAACATTTCTCAGGGTTGGATCATATCTGAACATGATATTGATCTAATAGTATCCTTTTGAGGGTAAAATCATCCAATTTATACAGAAATATTATATATTAAGAACAAGTTCTTTATTTTAAGAACTAGTATATTATATTTTTGAAAACAAAAGCTTCAGAAAACAGAAAATAAACCACACCATCTTGTTTTAATTTCTGGTAAGCCACAGAACAGAACAAAGTTTTGCTTAGATGATCCTTTATTATAATGCATTTCGTCTGATCTTATTACAGAGACAATCCAGATGTTTGTCGCTTCATTTCTTAGGCTGTGTTAAAAAGAAATTATAAGTATATGCATAAAAAAAAAACCAGGTAAACAGAAACTTGCATTCTTCCTCTACTGGTTGTTTTAAACACCAGGCCTCTTTGGGAACCT